ATAAGCTGGGAATATTAATTGATGAATCTCTCATTCATGTCGTCATTTGAGCATATTTTAATTGAAGTGACTTTCATGCAAATGTAATTGCTGCCGAGTAGCCCATTAGTCCAATGAAAATTAATGCTTATAGAATATTAATTCATTGTATGATTATAAGTCATTCTGGTTGTGGTAACTCCAAGAATGTGATGTAATGAGTGTCCTTTAGGGTGTATAAAACCATATAAATCCACCAGACTGTAAATTATTAAAATATATAGTACAGAATGTACATACTGTAATATTCCTCCCATTCAAAGTACTGTAAGTGGCCCATTTAAATATTCACCATGATCATTATATCACACCATTACGGACAACTGAAAAATGAGAAATTGAAAGGCTGACTGATGTTTTTAATCTACTTTTAGTGAACTAAGTCAAAGTCCAATTTCATTTTTGGAAATTGTTGTTTTTTTCAACACCATCCCACTTTAGTGTGTCAACAAGGAAAAGAAAAGGGTGAAAAAAGTCGAGAGAATAGAGACTCGTTAGGTTGTATCTCACACTCACAATCCTCTTCGTTATATACTTGTTTTTAGCGCTGACAGCAAAGGCGTAAAACATTATCTGTTTCGGTCAGATGAGGATTCAAACCTGAAACATCGAAAGCATCTGTTTATTCATTTGAATTACATCCAAACTTTAACATCTGTTCATTTTACACCTGTGAAAGAGGGAGAAAGATCTCTGAAGATTCACTCGAGCCATCAATATAAATATGCAACTGTTCCAACAACTTAACAAGAATGAATAACACCCGGTAGTTTGTGTAAATACAAATGCTTACAAGGTACTGTGAAGATTTGGCAGCAAGAGATTGAACCCTGGTCCCTGTCATTTGTTTGCAAGTCACTGTATATGAGTGGAAGAATGTCATGCCATGTATGTAAAATAAGTAAAAAAAATTGGGGCAGCAGAACAGGCTGAAATTAACATGCAGTATTTGGTGCTTCAGCTTCCAAATGTTAGCTATTTAGTCACTAATTTTGTCTGCCATTTGGTGTTTGGCAGGAAGTGTATAGATTTATCAGAGCTTGTTAACAGGGTTATAATAATAAGGTTAGCAGGCAGACATTTTTGATGGTAGCTTGAAAATCAAAAAGCAACAAGGACACTTTCTTGAAGGAGCAACTTGGTAACGTTCCTTTTATCAATGACACACGTTTTTTTGTGTACAATGTGAGTGAAAGATGGATGGATGTCCTACCTGCTGTACTTTACCATTTGCATTGCCTTTGAGCCTTACCACCTTCTTCTTCACATCACAGTCCATCAAACATGCTCTAAAAGTTTTAAACTTAACACGATGGAACACGCTTGAATTTAAATTACATCCGCTCTACAAAGAGGTTTGAACTGACAGCAGAAAGATTGGTCCTGATTTCACAGAATGTTGCAGGTAGCGGCAGAAGGAGATGACATAACTTTAATTTTGGGGCTTTTGTTGAACATGCATTTTCACTGTTATTGCTGGGTGGCAAATCAAAATCTATTTAACATCCCCAACGTTTGGTGATCGGTTGTTATGACTCAGCTGTTGTACTACTGTAACCTGTTCAGTCATTTCTTAGCTTTTCCTGTGGGCTGGATGTTTACCACCCATGACCAGTGGACAGCCATATTCAGTGGACACCTTCATCGTCATTCATTTATTTTATCATGCTGTTAATATGAGAGAAACTGTGCCCAGCGTGGGCCCTCCTTTTTCTCCTCAAGTGTTAACAGATAGTGATGACAGTGGCAGCAAGAACCAATCAGTGATCTTTCTTGTTCCTGTCTGAACAGCAACTACCCTCCCAACAAAAAGGGCACCAGCCCACAGAAAGTTGTAATGCTTTTATGGTAACCCTGGATAATATTAAAATGGTTAGTTTCATTGTATGTGTGTAAAGTATTACCACTACATATCTGTTATAAAAGCACAAAAGAAAGAAACTAATACATTTAAAGGGCACGTAGATGCTAATTTTCTAGCATGTAGGACAGCTTATATGGCATCTTGTTTTCTCCATTAGAAGGGCAGTCTTTTGCACATTGGCATTTACTATTCATCACTTCTGTTATTGCAGTAGAGGAATTTGAACACTTTGGCGCTTTGTGTGTGTCGAGGCTCCACTGCCCGTGACCCTATGTGTGGTTCTCATATTTTACTAAAGAGAGAATCCTGCCAGGTTGAGAGGGTCTGAGAGTGTATGTCCTTGGTTTTCACTGAGTGTATGAAAGCACTGGAAAATATAAAGCATAATTCATATCATTTTGACCTTACTTTAAAATCAATCAGCATTGCATTACATCAATCATAACTTGCATCTAGACTTATTAATTGAACAAGGCATGAATTTTAACAAAGTATGAAGGGCCCTCATTTACACAGCAATATCCACCATAAGGTACAGGTGTTTTGAACAAATGAAGCCCCAAAGGATTCTGGACTTTCTATCAACTCTCCTGTTAGCTAAGGCTACTCAGTGGGTTAATGGGGAGAGCAACAGTTGTGTGTGTTTGTGTCAAGAAAGAAAACCAAGAGCCACATAAAGAAATACTTATCAAAGGCACAAAATTCTGTGGTTAAATAACATCTTCTCAATTTTATCTCAGAAATATCAGTTCACACACAGCTATGTTGATCAAATTAAGCTCATAGTGGGGTCTGATTACATTTAACAAAATCCTTTGTAATTCCTTAAGCTACACAACTTAATTACCACAGGCTCACCTTTACTCTCCCACTCTCCCACTCACCCACTTACATTTACAATCATACTCTCTCACATTACCCTTTTTAATCCCCGTTTGGGACAGTCATTTGGGAGTCATAGTTAAATTCTACTTCAAGTTTTTATGTTCATGGGCTTGCACCTTTGACTTTTTATCAAAGAAACAGAGAGTTTCTAACACAGTTGTTAATGTTTTTCTACCGATTAGTCAACCAGGAGATTTTCATGCCAACAATGTGCTGGCATCAGTCAGAGCGTCCTTCAACAACTCCAGCTAGTGCAGAATGCCGCTGCCTGAATTTTAACAGGCAAGACAAGTGAAAAAACACCCGCTACCACTGTTGGTCCTAACCATAGTTGCAGTGGGTGTTTTCTGCCTTCTGCCTACAGGGGGCAGTAATGAGCCCATTAGAGCTCAAGCACTTTAAAAACTAATGTTGACAAGTTACACAAAGATGAGATTTATGCTTAATTACAATACAAACACCAGTAGTATACTGTCGTTCTGTTTCTCACACACTACCATTCTTACATAATAGTACTGTCTCACACAGGCATTGAGCCTGTTATTTCTTCTCATACATAGTACTACTCTCTCCACATAGATTGTAATTTGTTTCTTAGACATACTGTCAATCTCACTTTCACAAAACATACAACAGTTTATTTCTCAATCACACCACTCCTGTCTTGCACAAGCAATAGAAGGAGGGTAATAATGGTGTGTGAGTATTATTTATGATCTATAAAACTCTCCTGCTGTGCTACAGTCTTTTGACAATAGCACACTATTATATTTACATAGAATTCTCTATGTACATAAGTGAATAGTGAATGGGACGGATTTTGGATGAAGTCTTTGTGTTGAAAACTGGCTGGAAGGTCAGAAGTGAGTCAAATTTACTCAGTGTCTGGGAAATGTTCACCTCAATCTTTTCATGCTACCCTACAGCAGTTTAGGTAAGCCAGTCAGCGAGCCTACTGACCGGCAATGGATTCAAAAGGAGTCATTATTTATATTATGACCAGAGTTCTCCTTTTGCCATTCAAATTTGCCATTAAGTGCATAATATTTGACTTGCAGCAGCTATTGCCTCAGAGATTTCTGTAATTAAACCAAACCTTCAGTCTGCCACTGACTGAGGCACTCTTCTGTTTAGCAAAACAGGCTTTCCCATCTTCCATTTACATTTTATACATAGCAAAGAGAATTCCTGCTCTCACAGCACTCCTTTCTCTCTTGTGTAATGGCAGAAAGCGTTCAAGACTGCAGACTTAAGAATAACATATTTAAACCTATTCCCCAGGCATATGAATAACATATGTTACTCCGTTTAGGCAGTTTCTTTTACTGGTGGCCCAAAAAGGTAACAAGATATATACATTTGAAAAATATGAGCTTCTATTATTCAGAAATCTTCCTTTCTTTGGATGGATGAGCATTTGCTGCTGTTTCAGGGACAGTTTTTCTCTTTGACTTCTGATGCATCACTTCCTGTGAGAAGAAAAGTATACATAGTTTTATTTTTATTTCTGGTGAATGAGCAGATCAAAACCAACATGGCCTCTTGTATGTGTATTTTTATTCAAAAGTCTTTCCAAATGCAGTTTGAAATGAATGCTTCAGACCAAAGAGAGTACAGTCACTAATTCAGTAGCCTGATGACTCACTCCAAGTGGTCCTCACACAGTGCTACACTGCATCATTTTAAGGTGACCAATCACATTACAAAGAACCATACAGAGGTAAAAAAGCAAAAGGAAAGTATAGGTGATGGCTGGTGCCATCTGTTAAACTCTGCCTATAAACCAGGGGTCTCAAACTGCTGGTCCTCCATCCCAGTCCCTAGTGGTTTTATATAAATTTAAACTTACCCTTAATATACAATTAAAATAAATAAAAGAAAGAGTATTGGTAATGGCAAAGGTCCAAGGTGCCTGCAAATGTTTATAAATGGTAGATTAAAAAAAAGCAGGTTCTGGGCCTTTATTTGTTGTTTGGTTGGGAACAACAAAGATGATATGAAATGATAGTGTAAAAATGTATAGGAACTGCATTTGCATTTCTTTAAGTATGAAGTAATGGAAGGGTTATATTTTCAGAATATTGTGCTTTCCTGAAGTACTTGAACATTGAAGTGGCCCTCCTGTGAGAGGACAATACCAGCAGTGGCCCCAAGCCAAATTGAGTTTGAGACCCCTGATTTGAACACAACATCTGCTGCTCTTCTGTTGTAGAAAATGCCATCCTGGCCTTTGGGAACGGATCGGATGTGAAAACGGGCTCCAGCCAGCCCGGGATGCCCAGTCCAGCGACGGACAACCAGAGCCCGCACTTGGCAACCACCGCCCCGGGCGTCTCCGTGGAAACGGAGCAGAACATTCTGAGAGCACAGATACCTACTCAGGTGAGACGAGATGGAAGACTGAAAATGTGATGTACAACCTTTTCCAAACAGGGAGGCCCTAATGGAGGCGGCCTCGCTCAGAATTGGGTCGCACTACACTGCAGATAACTCGGGGTGTTTGTTTTATTCTGCAGGTAGCAGCAGATGGGTGGGATTTACATTATCTGCATAATTCAGACAGTCAGGTACAAAGTCAGTCACACAAAGACTGAGATGAAGAGAACTGAAGCTGTGTTTGTTTGTTATCACGTACAAAGAAATCCCTTTTTGTGTCCAAATTCTAGGTGTAAGAAGTTTATATTATGCAATTTAAATTAAAAAAAGGTGTCCTTTTTATACGTTTACATTCATTTGGCAAGCGCTTTTGTCCAAAGCAGCAATTCATGACACAGTAGATCATATAGAAGCCTTCAAGAGTAAGTGGCAACATGCTCAGCTTCAATGAAAACGACTTTTTGCCAAAGAAATGTAAAAAAAAATAAATGAAACAAAGATGTAACACCTCAACCCCCGTGCTAAAGGCGAGTGTGGCTCTACACTTCAGTGTCAGTAGGGACAGAAAAATAATGATCCATAAGTTTCCTAAATGTCAATTTCCTTCTCATTAGTGTTAAATCCATATGGGATTTGCGAGTTAAATAAAATTGTGACAATGATAGCCAATTATCTAATTATCCTTTTGTGCACAAACACTCAATAAAAACTGCGGTTTGGTAATGATGCCTCACATTTGATTATCAAAACGTTCAGATGAAGATATGTGCTCAGGGCAAGAAATACTGTATGTGTGCCAATACATTGGTCAGGCTCTACCGCTCACTATAGACTAACCTATTGATGTTTATCATGTAGAGAATTCAAGTAAGTGAATGAAAGAAGCTTTGAAGCTTTAAGATTGGATGTAACTTTATTGATCCCAGAGGGATCATTAGATCTCTGCAGCAGTAAAAGGATTCAACGCACAAAGCAGAGCATAAAACAAACACCATAATGAGAATGAAAGAGTTAAGTCAATTAATACAAGCTGCGGAAAACAATGTAAACAAATGGGTGTTATATAAGCTTATTCTATTGATAGTTTACACACATTAACCAGACTTTACTGGAGAGGAAAATACAGGATGACTACACGTGAAAAACTGACGGCACAGTTTCATATAAATGTTATTTGCACCATGATTGCAAATATAAACACAGCCTTAGTAACTTAAAATGTGCAATATGCTGCAGATAAATATATATGAGAAGATGCCATACAAAAGTGTCTGTGGACAGATGGAAGTTCCTGTACTTCAACAAACTATCAGCTAATGTAGAAACACTAGTGATGGAGTGTCAGAAGTCTTCGGGGGGTTCTGGGTGCTGTAGTTGTTATCCCACATCTCTAAAAGTGAACAATCAGCGTGAACACAAAACACTTGAATTGTCTCATATTCATAACTGCTTCATCAACAATATAAACAGGTTCTTCAAACATAATTACTGTAGCCCATGCCATGAAGTGGTAAAGTAAACAACTATTAAACTCTGTTGAGCATCAATTTTAATGTGGACAGCCTGTTCTGCATTAAACATACACACAGTATCTCCAATTTTAATAATGAGGTGAGAATTATAAATAATATAATTCACTGCAGGCTAAGGAAATTTGTTCCATGCATTCAGCATGGGAATCGGGAAAAATGCTGTAGATAACATAATTGACAATCCGCCAACAGATATAAATAAACTTCACAAGCTAAATGTATAACTAGGCCACTTACTTATTTCCAGAGGGAAAGCAGAAGAAAAGGGCCAAAAGCCCAAATTACATATTCTCGCCTCAGGTCCTCTGAAGCCCCTCGTCCCACGCAGCGATTCTTTCAACAGTCTGTATCATCCTCTGACTGCGTTAGACTTCATATTATGGTACAGAGATAAAGTAAACAGGGAAGTGACACTTTGCTGAGCACTGACATTTCGTCACCTGATCGTCGAGTTTCAACTCAGGATCAAATAAAGTGTCACTGAGTCGACACCAGTCGGAGTTAATTAATCCAGTAAATGGGCTCTGGACAGCTGCCTCAGAGTCATATCATCAGCCACACAACTCTTCAACCAACATCCTGTCACATTTAAATAACTGTCACTGATAATTCAACTAAAATTAAATTAACACTGGAGATGTTGCAGTGCATTTCAATCAGACCCGTCTTGTCTACAGTCGCAGCTGAATAGAAAGGACAGGACAACTCACTGTTAGCAATGTTATTTTCACTCTAATTTAATGTAACTACCTATGTATTGTCACTGTCACCTACATGGAAGAAGAAGACAGAGTTGCCAGCTGGGAAATGTTACAAATGTTCTTTTATTAGTACACATCTCATTTTAAACTGTATAAAATTTCTATTTCAGGTTTTTCAACTTCACTTAAAAATGTCAGATTGCCATTCAAAGTATCAGTTTGTCATTATCATGTTTCATTATCCAATTTCCTTTTAATTCTAACATTTAATTATAGTCTGATTATCCTTTATGTAGTAGAGTAAAATAATAATTTAGTGTATTCCATCTTATTTTACCTTTTAATCCTATTTTAATTCATATTTCTGACAAAGGTTATCCCCTTTAAGGCATTAGATTCCCTAGAAATAAGTAAAACAAGTTGTTTTGTTAGATAGATTTTTAAATAAAAATATACAAAGATAATTTCAGAATTGAGAATTTAACATAACTTTGCATAACTGACGTCCAAATAATACCATATAAGGCTACACAGCCAGCCCCCTGTGTAAGGAAGTTAATTCATGAGAATGATACGGAAGAGTAAATAGAAGAACTTTACGAGCTCAGAGATTAAAGTCCTGCTCTCGGAGATAAACAAAGGAAAGTCCATCATTTCTTAACAGCGTCGGCAGTGTGAGTAAAGACCCTGTTTAAGCCAAGGAGTGGGGAAAAATGAGGAGTACTGTTAGTGCTGTGTCACCTGAGGGTCGTACTGCTGCTGAAATCAAGAAGAAGTGGTTTGATATGAAAAGCAAGGCGATCGATGACCGTAATGGGAGGGGGTCAAAAGGAAGTCTCACAGGTGATTGGCTAATAGGTGATTGTCAGGCATTGCAACAGAGGCAGTTCCCCTGGACAGCGACCTGCACATACCGTAATGTGAAGACAACCCTAACCTCATCAAAAGCCAATTTAAATTAATGATGATATCATTAAGCTATATGATATATTTAGAACTATATTATAATTTTAACTGTACAGTCAAACAGGATGCTGTCAGCGTAATTATAAAGTGTAATTTACATAGGAAATTGCTTTATAATAATACACAATCCTTCAGTGAAAAACGTGTTTGGATAACAACAGACCAATTGCACATGGCTCCTACGAGTGGTCTGGACCACTGATAAAGTGAAAATCTGTTAATGCTGCAAGTCCTCCTAAATCAGTTGAACAAACCACAAATATGTTGGTATGAGTGGCCCAACTCTTGCATGAGGCCCAATTTCTTCTCTCAGACCTTTATCAGGTAAAATTCCTATAGACAACACCAGTTTCATACTGTATAAATGTATATATCTTTAGGCCATGCTACTGGTGATGTTTGTATGAATTTTGCCTGGTAAAGGACTGATGAGTGTAGAGGATTAGATTTTTTCAGTTACAGTCCCACACCACAAACCTGTAAAACCAATATAAAGAAACAGTTGAGGAGCAAAGAAAACAAAAGAAATTAAAAAGAGTGCAGTTGAAATCTGATGGAGGATGGAGGGAGAAGAAGCAAATAATCTAGAGATGGAGCTCGACTGAAGAGTTTATTCAGAATATGTTCGCAGCGAGAAAACATCTCTTGCTGTGAAATTGTGTCTGGCTGATAAGTGGCAATGTCCTCGCCATCACTTGTCTTATTTTTCAACTGCGGATATGGAAAATTTGGCCATTATACCACATAGTTGGTCATAAAACTTCTCATGGATCAGTTTTTTTTTTTAACTGCTCATGCAAAAGATGGTTACTGGTGTGGAACCTGGAGTCAGATGAGTTATTTTTCTACCCAAAAAAAAAAAAAAACTGGATGACTAATGACAACACGTGTTTGTTTTCTTTTAGGTAAACGAGAACGACAGATTGTGGGGCGACGAGGGAGACTCCACTCTTCCCTCTCCGGGCCTGTCGGACCGTGGAGCCGAGCCCGTCCGCCTGTCCCTGCTGCTGGTCCTCGGTTGGCTGCTCCTGCTGCTACTCTCCGACCAATAAGAGGCCAGTCTCAGCTGGCCTCCACGGACAAACCTCCAGACCTGGGGGGGAGGGTGGGTGAGAGAGAGAGAGAGAAAGAGCCATTTTTATGTGTCAAATGACGGTAGGGGAAAGGGTCGACTCTGTCCCGCCCCGCTCCCCCTCTCCCTCTCTGTCACAAAAATCACACTTAATCTCTTTTTGTGAATCATGACTCAGAGCAGATGTGTTGTGCAGCCCACGCCCTTGAGGAAGACCACCGGAGAGGGTGCCGCTACCGCACCACAGGGGGGGGAACCAGGAAGTACACACCTCATTTCTTGCTTCACGCCTGCCCAAACACAAACTGTTACACAACACACACGCACACAAGACTTTGCTCATCTGAAAATACCGTCTAAGCTCCATGGAAAAGGCCCGTGGGTTCCGAAGGTGTACAGTGAACAGACACTGTAGATGCAGTGCCGGGGAAAAGTCTAAAAACAAAACAAAAAAAAGATATATATATAAAACAAAACAAAAAAGTGTTTTTTTGTCCCTGAACATTCCTTGATGTAAAAGAAAAATATTAAATGTTAAGACTTTTCTCTCCGATGAAGTGTTACACGAGATTTAAGGTGGATGTGTGTGTTTGTCCACATGTTGCGCTCATTCAGCTCTGCTCTTTATTTTGACACTTATTATTTTATTATTAGACAAAATTTTGTTACGCATATGTTAGATGGACGCACTTGTTATAATCGAGTCAAATCACAATGGAATTCTTTGTTTGTTGTTGTGTTTTAAGTGGCAGGATGAGGAGTTTGTTTCCAAATAAAGAATTATATATAGAAAAACTTAAGTTGTTAATTGAAATTTAACGTTCAAGAAGCTCCCAAAGTCTGTAAAAGTGTTTTATTTTGTCAAACAAGGACCTACATTACTTATTAGCCTTCAACGTATTGTAATTTGTTTTCATTTTATCATTTTGTATTTGTAGATGTCATCGGAAGGGGGCTCTTCATATATTTCATTAAGCTTTAAGTGTGAGAGCCATTTGAGTTTTTCCTCTTCAGAAATGTATTTAAAAAATATCATGTGGTTATGGTGAAGCAACAACAGATGGAAACAAGTTTATATTTTTTAAATGTATGTGGACTTTGCCGCAGAGAAAACAGATATCTATAGACAAGTTTGTGACCAATCATGCTTTGCCGTGGCGGGAGGATTAGTGGAAGACAGACGGAGCGGGTTTTGATGCATGAACGGATCCATCTGTTTTTCGAGAGACTCATGAGATGAAGGTGGTGACCCACGTTAGCCCGCTACCTGCTGGGACTCTTCACTCGATGTGGGACGCCAGAGGATTTACAATATGTACTGTAAAAGCTCAGTTCTGCTTTGTGCAGCGGATACGTCTATGAAATGTGTTGAGGGGTTGGTCATGTGTCATCTTCAATACTGCCACTGAATTCAGTTAAATTAAGGAAGCACCCATTGGTTTCACTGCATTATTAAATGACACAACATATGCTGATTTTAACACAAAGAGAGAAAATGTGTTGCCCCCAAACTACAGCAAACCTGATGAAAATGACACTTTCTAGTTGGACCTATGAAAGCTCACACTGTAAGCTCATAATATTGTCATAACAGCACAATAGTTGTTGGATTTTGCCTGCCAAGTTCTACAGGAAGGAAAAAAAACTGTTTATTCTTCCTCATTGATGCCAATGTAGTTTTGAAACGACACCCCATTTGGGGCGAAGGACCTAAAAATTATTCAACACATACGCAGATGTCTTAAAGGGGCAGTTCACTCAAATCACAACAATATTTTCTCACTCGCCTGTATGCGATATCTAGTCATCCAGACCCAGGTTTTGAGATTCTCTGAGATTGCTGCTGCCATCAAAATACAATAAAGATCATTTACATTTTTCTTTGATCTACGTTCTTGATACCAAAGCTGAGAGGTTAAGTATGTCCCACAGTTTCCACTCAAGCTCTATATTGAGGCTTGTATCACTTTGAAAACATAATTTGATTGATGAAAAAAACAAGGCGTCATTTTCTCTACAATCACGACTGTTTTGTGTTACCACCCATCGAAACTCCATTTGTGTTATCCCTCAATATCTTTATTTTCCTGATATTTCACAAGGTATAGTTGCAAACATACGCTACCATTCAAACGTTTTGAATCACATTCCACATAAGCTGAGAGGTCTTTCATTCATTACAAGGTTATTTTGTATGAAGGGTTTGCAAAAGAATTATGTATTGTACATTGAGAGCAAAACGCTGTTCAATGATTCAACCAGACTGACAAAAGAAAGGGCAGAAAGAGACAAAGATTCCTCTGAGCAAGAGTTAAATAAGAATATAAAAAAAATGTCATTGTTAAGGAAATTGGAAGCGCAGAATCAAAATCTGTGCAGATTTAAAGAGGAACAGGTTCCTGTTCCAGTCTCAAGTGTACAATAATGCTTTTAACAAGTTGGAATGAACGGGTGTGTTGCTTAGAGATAGAAACTTAGTACTATTGAAACCTGATCACAGACTATCAGCTGAACATGCTCTGGAAGGCCAAATCACAGTTTAAACCTGTTCAATCTAACCACTGAGTGCAAAACATTTAGAGCCCAATTGCACCGTTGTGGTTCAATAATGGTCTCGGGTCACTTTTCTGTACTGGAAAACAAATCCCAAATCGAAAGATTTCTTTGTGGGAAATGCAACACTGTGGGGACATCGATTAAATGGAAGTTTTAATCATTTAATTCTTCTCCTTTTGGGGCCAAAACTATTTCAAAGGAAAATATAATTTGGTGTCTGAATTACACTGTTTTTATTTGAACAGTCATTATAGAGTGAAAGAAGATAAACATCAATGTAACAGGTGATTCCAAACTTGAATGGTAGTGTACATAAAAATAGGTGCATCATCAGCACATTTTTAACTTAGAAACACAATACTAACACATTATCACCTTGTAAAGCTGTTTTGGCCAGTGTGTTAGTAAACCATTGCCAATCTAGACATGGAGAAACATTCATTCATTTAGTCGCAGAGCAAATTTAAGTCCAAGTTTTACTCTCCTTTTAGCTTTAGGAAATATCTCTTTATGAGTTAAATGTTCCACTATGTTCACTAGCTAGTCACTAACCTTTTCAGCCATTTGGTGTTTGCAGTGGGATTATCAGAGAGAAAACCACTGGAAAAGACACTGAATGCTGTGGGTCAGTCACTACAAGTCACTTTTAGCATTTTAGTAGTCATTTGACCCATTGTTAATTGAAAAATATTGATTAGTACAGCTTTAAAATTGTATTGTATATATATATATATGAAAACAACAAGAAGTTTTTTGGAGTGGCAGCATAGATTAACAGGCAGATATATCCAAACCTGGGCAAATAAAATCCAGATTTACTACTAGATGTAAGTGAGAAATATATGTTTGTGATTTTGGTGAACTGATCCTTTAAATTTTCATTACCAAAACTGCAGTTACGTGGTTAACTGGTGATAAGAGTGTCTGAGTGATACCTCTTGCTTTCACAAAGCCTCCGTCTCCAGCTGAGCTCTGTTGTCCCAGTTTGATTTGTCCTGTGATTTATCAGTCAGTGGGTGTCCCGTGGCGTGCTCTGCCGCTGTGAGGTGACTGACCAACCTGCTCCCTGTTCGTCTGCGCCAGCAGAATCTCAGATGTGACATGTGTCACTTCCTGCAAATAAAGGCGACACTGTAAGTGGAGGTGAATTCTGACCAGTTTTCTTGTGCAGAGAGGAGGTGCTTTTTCACCTGTCTAGAAATGTTTGGTCTCGTGACAAAACTCTTGACCCTCATCCAGATTCAACTACGTTCAGCATCACCTCAGAGGAAGTATTCAACCTTTTCTTCCCTCGAGCAGCACCCCTGGCATCAAGTTCAAAGTCCATTTTTCATCACACACAGGGAGTGATTTGTAAAGATGTTATAGTATAGTGTATATACTACACAGTGTATACCATATACAGTATATGATGTCTATAACATTCATACCTTGAGTAATAATAAAAAGGATTTTATCCAAGGTTTTGCTTTTGATATGTCAGACAGAGAAAATCACTGAAGGCTGATTCTGACATCAACTTTATAAAGCACAACTTTGAGTACAAACTTGTGCATCAGAAACTTTAATAAATGAGACCCCTGGTGTAAACAAACCTAGAGCAGATTTGTGTTTCTTCTAAAATACTCTATACCTTAAGGCTATAGTGCGAGGCATCTAAGGTAAAGAACATTGCAGCTGTAAAATCTATGGAAGACAATGAGGTATGTGAGCCACAGAAAGACGTTATTGTATTCATAACATCTTGGCAAAAATATCAAAACTACCTGAAAGTAACCTGACGTAAGTTTAAAACCACTGCGTCATCATCTCACCCACATTGCTTATTTTGGCCACAGAAAAAGACGCATTCATCCTTTTACAAAGTGAGACTCCAGCTGCCACTGTGCCACCTGTGCTTTGCATATGGCGGCTGTAATTGCTCCCAGTCTTCATGTTTTGGGTCAACAGCTATGTGGGACAGACCTCCTGCTGTCCCACATACTGTAGCTGTTGGGCCCATGGCTGCTGTGGCTGGCTGATAAAAGGCTAAAAATCTGACCACCAACAGGAAGCCGAGCACAGTATGAGATCAGAAACTAATGTGGGGTATTATCTATAACAGGGTTTCTTAACCTGTGACATATTTTAGGTCCCCAAATTCTTCTCTCCATCAATTAAAGATTCATCAAGTTTTGACAGCACAGAGGGAGCTCTGAATGAACTATATACATACTAAAGAGAAAGATTTAAAAACTTCTCTAGTCTTTTAAGTAAAAACATGTCAAACAAAACTCAAGTCTTAGAAGAAGTCTAATTTCTCAAAAACTCTTGCATGTCTTTTGAAAGTGTGAATTTATAATTTAAGTTCTTCGTGTTTCTATGCTGTTATGGGTTTGTTTACATCAGTAACTTGTGTAAACAGGAGTAACACAGGTCTATTGTTGCAGTTATAGTGCATATGGAAACACAAAATACTCCTAGTCTAGTATGTACAGTATTACACGGTCAAAAAGAATCTACGATTGAACCCTAAAAACAAACTAGATGACATCAAGAGGAGCAATTTCATGACTTTACAAGAAATGAAAAGATATGAAGTATGCTAACTGAAATATTGAGCCACAACAGCAGTGCTGATCAGCAGTAAAGTTATTGTGTTTCTGCGGTGTCCATCAGGGCCTGTAACAAAACATTATGTAATAACTTCCCCACATATTGAGATATATTCCACAGATATTGTGGGAGTTGCACATTATTTTATCAACAGAGTTTTGATTAAGCTGAAGATTTTTGATGGCTTTTTGGGGAGCCCTGTCAAAAGATCATTGCAGTAGTCAACCTGCTAGAAATAAAAGCGTGGATGAGTTTTTGTAGGTCGGCATTTGATGTGAAGTTCAAAAGTTTGGCTGTATTTGTAAAATGATGATGAGCTGATCTTGTTACTGCTTTTATGTAGTTATTTAGACTAAGATCATTTTATTGAGTTATTGTGTAATACAGTGTTTTTATATAATGTGTTAAATTCTATTGTTATATAAGCAAACAGAACCAGGATTGATGTGTGCAGCTCGCACGACCTGGTACACTGTTTTTTGTGTTGTGTTAGCTTACCTTATGGTTACACTTTTCTGTTCTCGGCAACGAGGAAAATAGTCTGAAAAGATGACAAAACACTCACTGTAGGCAAGGCTGCACAAGCTGATTGCAATACTATTAGAACGATAAAAATGTCCTACCAACTGCACTGAAGAAGCTGCGTATGATCTGATCTGGTACCGAGTCCGATTCTGGGTAAACATTCTGTATCAGCAAAAATAATAGTTACATTAAAAATGGTGACAAACATGATATATAATCTGGATACTGCTATCATATTAGCATTATGGAGCTCTTTACACTGAAGGAGGAAAAAGGCAGAATGCCAAGCGAGTGTTTCTAGGGGTGAAACAACATTTAAAACTCGAGCATCACAAACATGTCACACAGGAGGAGGAAGTTGGGAACTGTGCTGCTGAGTGTGACAAACTTTCCCTCGTTAGCAAAGGTAAACAAATCCTGAAATGTATTGAACAATCTTCTCCAGGGTTAAAAAAAACGTGGCATTTTGATTTTTAATCAAACAATCTCATGCATTATTACCTACTGCCAAACTGACATTTAATCTGTGAAACTGCACGTCTGCACGAGTGAGTTAGGGAATTCTTTTCAAAATATGTGGAAAACACTGATGTATAGAGCCCACTGGTTCGTATGAATGGCTTATTAGCAGCTTAGTTAATATCAAAAGGTCCAGTGTGTAACATTTAGGACCTATTGGCAGAAATGATCACTAACCGTGTAGTTGCAGATTGCAACTCCCTCGCTTCACCCTCCCCTTCCTAGTGCAAAGAAGAAACTACAGTGGCTGTGACACTCATAAAAAACACAAAAGGCCATATCTAGAGCCAGTATTGAAACATGGCAATTGAACATGGCGGACTCCGCCAAAGAAAACCTGCTCCCTCTGTATAGAGAAACGGCTCATTCTAAAGTGATGAAAACACAACTATTATTTTTTCAGGATTATACACAAATGAAAACATGTGAATATTATATTCCATTTCTGCCGATACATCCTCCTAAATAACACACTGGACCTTTAAAGGACCTTCAGTACAGAGAATGCTATAGCACTGACACAGTACATGAGACACACAAACCGGGGCTAGTCCCAGTCTCTTCACACATCAGGATGCTTACTGTTTGCTTGCATGTATCATAATGAATCCTGATATCAGCTAGAAATCACAAGCATATTTTAAGCTAAAATCCAGTGAACAGCTGGCTGTTACAGAAGACACAACAGAGCTTTCACTGTGAAAATGACACGCCACACAAGGCCACATACAATATGTTGGAAAGAATACAGAAAAATTAAAAATGAACCACAAACAAAGATTTTTTTAACCGCCTAATCTAATACTGTGAGTTGCCAAACAAGGAGAGTAAGAACCAGTTGGTGAGGGATACATCTCCCATTTATCTTTATGTATTGCTAAGATTATCGCCTTAATAAATTGATGCCTAAGTGTATTATGTTACACAGTAGTAGTAATTCTGATCCTACTTAACACTTGAGATTAGACCAGTGTTTTAGTTTGATATTGGCCTTTAATTAAAAATCTTAACCTAATCATTTGTTTTATTGTAGCAGAAATAAAAGTTCCCTCTAGACTGCAGCTTGTGAAAAAATGTTATTAGTATTTTTTTCCAGATCGCTGCTCAGAGAAATTATCCCATTGTGGTGCCTGAATAATTAACCAAGTGAAACATACAGTGAAACCTGCCTTAAAGGAACAGTAAATCAGATTTCCACCCTGTTGGTTTAAAGGTCGAGTGTGTAACATTTAGGAGGCTTTATTGGCAGAAATGGAAGTTACCAGTGTTGTACACTACAAAATTCAATTGGTGACGAATTTTTGCACCAAAGCTTCATCACATGGTCCTTTTAGTTAAGTTAGATTTTGATCATATTACAGGATCTTCCTGAGCAGATGGAGTTGCATTGTTGTCACGGAATTAGAATTGGTCAAAAGAACAGCAACTACATGGAACTTCATCATTTATCACATTTTTTAAGCCAACATGGATGAGCAATTCTTAAAGGATCAGTGTGTAGGATTTAGAGGCAGTTGAAGAATTTGCAACTTACTGAACACCATTGGCGTCAGTATTTGACGATCTAGGAGTGAAAATGGGCTGTGAAGTGTGTAGGAGAAACTACAGTGGCTGCAAAACTTGCAAAAAATGCCAGCGTTTGGTTTGTCTTTTCTGTGCTACTGTAAAAACATGCCGGTTCAAAATCCATGGAAGGCAACCCGTGGTGTTCTCATCCTAAGGTAATGAAAACAAGAGATTCCTACGTTAAAAAGAGCACTTATATTTAGATAAAAGGACAAACTCCATCTGCTGTGGAAGGTCATGACATTTGATCGACACGTGTGATTACTTTTGGGAGTTTGGTATGAGTGAGTTTTGAAAGCCAGACATCTTGGCTCCTCAAAAAAATAATTATTCTTAGAAAAACAATCTGGCAGACAAATTACAGCCATTTTGTGCTATTACAAACATCATGGATGATATCTGTAATTTTAGAAGACACCTGTTTTTTTGTTTTGTAGTAACTACTGCACATCAGCAAACAGGTTTTCTTTCCAAATATGGATTTACTGCAGCTTATTTATGAGTGAAACCCTTCAACATAACAAGTACTGAGGGGGAAAACATCATCATAAGTCAGAATCTGACAGCTCAGTATACAGGATGAAGAGGGGGCGGATAGATCGGAGCAACTCCTCTGAGAAATGTTTACTAATTGTGATAATGTGTCTAATGCTGTCAGCAAGATGTGAGAGAGAGAAAAAAAGAAAACGTCCGCGACAAGAAAACACAAATACAGCATTTCTCCGAATTACATTTCACCGTGTAACCTTTGTTCAGCAAATTTGAAATACGACGGGGGAAATTTTTTACAGACATTATTGCCCCTGACAGCTCTGCTGAAAACCCAACCAAATTAAAGCTGAGGAGAGATAATTATATTAGACTGTTCGGTGAAAGCAATAAAGACCAGATGACCTGAAAATGGGCAGACGCATGAAAAGTCTGCAAACAATCTCTTGCTTACTCGGAATTAGACTCAGAGGATGATGAGGAGGAGGAGGAGGGAAGGATGGTTTTCATAAACAGCCTTGCCATAATGTGAAGGAGGGGAAAAAAATAAAAAATAAGGGCCTCATTATCAGCCAACTGCTACCGAGCAGCAGTGTGCAGGCTGTCAAAATGATCAGGATGGATTTAGTCAAAGACTTGGAATCAAAGGGCAGCACCTAATCATCTGTTTACAACGTACAGAGGCTCCTGGGGAGGGGAGGGAGAGAAAACAGGGTTGGTAGTGGAAAAAGAAAGAGAAGAAGAGGGCAAAAGGAAATGAGAAAGGGGGAGCAAAAGGACATAAAATGATGGAGAACGGTGACATTAAATATAGATGACAGAGAATGGGAGGAGTGGATTCACAGAAGTGGGAGGAAAGAAGTGGAGAGAAAACAGAAGAAGAGAAAGTAGAAGGAGAGGAGGGAGCAGCAATAAAGGAAAAAAACTACAGAGGAGAGAAGCTAGAGGGATCAGTAATGAAAAGAGACAGTGGGTGAGAGAATAAGAGAAAAAGAAAGCGAGAGAGAGGAGAATGGAGGGATGGAGTGGTAGAAGACAAGAGATATATACAAATAACCGGAGAAAGGGATTAATGAGGGAAACAAAGAAAAAAACGAGAGAAAGAGGGTAAGGTCGTAGGAGGGAGAGGAGAAAGGATGATGGAAAGAGAGAGAAGGAGAGGGTGAGGTGAGAGGTGGGAGATGTGAGGCGGAGAGGAGAGAAAATGATTGATGAGAATAAAGGAGAGAAAGAATAGACAGATTAACCAATAATGGAGACAGGAGGAGAAAATTAGAATAAGGAAGAGAGAAAGAGAGGATGGGGCAGAAATTGATTGAGGAGGGAGAGATGGGGTGAATGTGGATGGAAAGAAAGGTAAAGAAGAGAAAACTAATCAGAGGAGAAAGAGGAAGAAAAGCAACAATGGCAAAGAGGTGCATTGGATTAGAAATGAAAAATGAAAGGAGGGAGAGAAAAGAGAGGGAGATCTATAGAAAAACAAAAACAGTAAAAGAGAAAGAAGAGTGAAGGGGTGGGAGAGGAAAGGTAGAAAGAAGGTTGGATGGAGGAGGAAGGAGGGGAAGAAGCGATGGGAGGAAAGAATGATAGGATAGGATATGGAAGATAGAAAAAGGGAGGATGGATGGGGTGACTAAGAGATGGAGGAATCATAGAGAACAAAAGGAGGATGGAGAGAGCAGAGAAGGAGATGGAGAGAGCGAAAGAGAGGCAGGATAGAAGTAACAGTGAATATGGAGGATAGAGAAAAAGGGGTAGCTGGAGTGAGTGGATGAGACAGATGAAAAGAGAGGTTCAGAGGAGAGCGAAAGAAGGAAGGAAAGAAGAGGGTGGAAAGGGAAGAAAGGGATGAAGGTTGGGTGATGGAGAAAGTGGGGAAAGAAAGAGAGGAGAGGAGACAGAGGGGGAAGAAGGGAATGGAAGCAGGGAAAGATAGGTGAAGAGAAGAAGAAATGTAAAAGGAGAGGAGAGAGGAGCAAAGGATGAAAGGAGCGAGTGGCTGACAAAAAGTCAAAGTAATTGGAAGAGAGGGAGGACGAGGAGAAGAAGTTGTAGGGGTAAAGAGAAGGGAGAGGAAAAGAAATACAGGAGGAGAGGAAAAAGGAACGGGAAGATGAGAAAAGAAGGGAGAGGTGAGAGAGAGATGGAAGAAAAAAAGATAAACAGAGAAAGATGGGGTGAGTGGGAGAGGTGAGAGATGAGGAGAGGAGACAGAAGGAGCCAAGAACGGAGGAGGAACGATGGAAGGAAGAGGAAAAAGGTGTCAGACAGAGCGGGAGAAAGTGAAAGAGAAAGGAGAGAAAACGAGAGCTCAGAGGTAGGAGAGAGAGATCAGGAGTGAAAGGAGGACAAGAGAGTGGGAGAGGGAAACAAAAAGAGACACGGGGTGAAGGAGGGAGGGAGAGGTGGGAGACGGAGAGATTAAAGGGAGAGAAAGAATGAAAGAGAGATGCAGGATGACTGGTGATGAATAATTGCTGGTGAGAACACAGCAGCTCACCGACACTCAGCCTCTCCTGCCGCCGTTTCGCTGGAGGGCTCGAAACATCAACAGCGGCATTAAAAATAGCAGCGATTATTTGAAAACAAGCCCGGGGAAAAGTGTATTTACAAATAATAATTCTCAACATTTGATTTATCCTACTCAGAACCGCAGACGGTTGCACTGTGTCACAATGTGACAGTCCAACATGGGGGGGGGAGTTTTGGTCTTTTACTTTTAATCCAGAGTGAGACATCACAACACCCACTGAGATTGATATGAAGGTTGGTTCAGGTATTTATGATGCCCCTGAGGATGATCTCTAAAGATCTTTGTGACCCTTTGACCTTTCCTCTAGCGTCACCATCAGGTCAAAATGTATGCTTGACCAAAATTCCTTATACATGATCCCCAGAGGATGAATCCTAATGTTTTTGGCGACCTCCTGATCCCTATGATAACTCTCGTATCTCTAGCGATGGGCCAGAATCTCAACTTCCACACAAAGACATTTTAATAGGAAGATACTAAGAATGCACAATGGTATTGGCTTTAAAATGACACATCAGTATCGGACAAAAATTTAAATTTCTGCCAAGCCGATAATATGACGCTTAAATTACGCACACACAACGCGGTGTGGAGGTTTTTGGAAGTGAAGAAGGATGGCAACATTTCTATTTGCAATGGTTCCTCAGTGACAGTCATTATAGGAGGAGCCAAATTGCATCCTACTACAAATTTAATTGTTCATCTTTAGAGCCGTCATCCCAATCATTATGACACATTCGTGAAAAACAAAGAGAGAAAAGCACCGGTGAAAAAAAACCTGTCCGCAGTAGTTTTCTTATTTTACTCAATGAATGTGTACATTTTAAAAAGAATTGTATTCTATGTTTGCATCTGCCAGTGTACCATCACAACAAGAGCAGTCATAATACTGTGTTAATTTCAGTACAGGAGACAAAAAAGGTGCATTTATTGATATCAGCATCGGCAATCAAAAATGAGTTGGAAAACAATTGGATATCGGCAAAAATTCAATATATTATATATACATATATCTAATATGCATCCCTAGATAACACCATGAAAATGTTGAGTACATTCAGGCTCCCCAGAGTAAGAGACCTCTTTACTTAGATACTGACGCTTTCAGCAGGCACTGATCTCAGTTCAGAATTTTGTCTTTGTAAAGAAAATATTGAACAATTAATTAAGGATATTCATGATCAAAAGATAAATCCTTTCCTCACATTCCCCCGAGGATGAACCTGTTGGACTTCCTACTAATCAGCACCTGATTATTTAAAAAGGCACACCAGATGGCAATGAAGCACGGAGCCAATCTGATGAAGCAACATGTAAAACGTTAACTTCCTTCTTCTTTTGCCTTTATTGTAATAAAACAGAGTCAATCCTGGTATCCTGGTGTGTGCTGGAATATTTCTGTCTGTTTACTTTAGTTTGCACCGGCTGGCTCCCAGAAGAGAAGTACATGGGGTAATTTCTTGATTTTTGGACACTTCATGAATTGCTTTCTAGTACTGCCCCCAGGTAAAAATGTCAACTCTGAAATATAGATAGGGTTACAGCCTACAGCGCTTCGGCACACCGATGCTGTCTGTGAGCTAAAACATCAAGCATCATCAAACATCATGTCAACATCAAGGTAGCCAGTGGTATCATGTTGGTGTATAAGGTTTATCATGTAACATGCTACCATTAATGTCATTAGTTCAGCTGTTTTTGGGTACTGATGATTGGCGCTGGATGAAAAGTCCATATAGCCCATCAGAGCTATTAACATTGATCCTGTTTTAAACATGAATGTCCCTTTTTATTTACTCTTCAGTCCCTCCACAAAGTTGCAAAGTTGTGATCACAACAATTAACACAAATTCAACCAATTCCTGTGGTTTCTGCACATCCTTGTAATTTTGATTTGACCAATCAGGACAGTCCCCCACACAAAATGTTGAGCCATAACAACACCAAACTATTAGCTGCTACTACTGACCAACTATTTCTGCTATTTTCTCTTTCGCTATTTCATTGCAATTTCATTGCAACCCCCAAAAAAAAAAAAAAAAAAAAAAACACCTAGGGCACAACAATCCCAGGAAGACTGCAAAATCCTGGAGGGATCATTGGGTCTTCATAAGTTGTCAGGTCGTGACCCGCAGGTCAAATTGTTTGCAAGCAACAAAAAACAATAAAGTTCCTGTAGATATTCATGATCCACAGAGGAAGAATTGTCTTTCACTGTAACACCACCACGAGACCAAAATTTCCAAACTACACAAGAGATTTCCCACATTGTTGTGAAAATGTGTGAGCATGTTTGTTCCCTAAAGGATGAACTTTAATGAGGACATTTATGCTCCTGAGATCATTTACATATTTGACTTTAAAGACTCGCTGAACTCCATCCACACTGTGCATTGTGAGGTGAACACTGCAGCCTCCAGGGCCAGCTAACAGGGCCTGGTTTATAGTTACACCATCAAAGAATGGTTTTTTTTTTTACTATACTTACTTGAAAGACATGTTACCAGAAACTGTGGCACCACCCCTCTGGCACTCCAGGCAGACTCAAACAAGCACTACAGGAAAAGTTTGAAATTGGGTAAAATGCAGTTATCAAGACAAACAGCACTGGGAGGATTTTCACATTTAATAATAGACAAAAATGTTCTGTCATTCTTTTATGTACATCAGTAATTACAAGTTCAGTAAGCTATTATCCTCAACTTTTACATGTAGTTTCATCAGCTTCTAGTAATGCTTGTTCATCTTTACACTGCGGTCTTACATACAAAATATGCTATGTACTGCAGTCACATTTATAAAAGCCTGGAGAGGTTTGCCATAAATGATTTTTTAAAACCATTCAACAAATGTCGTTCACAATACTTTCTCATTATTTACAAAAAAAACAGCAACTGCTAAATTATACATATTAACAAACTACTTCCTCAGGATATATAATGCCGCTATACAAAGAGAGACGGAAAGAAAGAAAGAGGGTAATGCCAGATTTTACAATGACCTTATTCTGATGCTTCAACCTGTGTATTAAAGCATTTTAAATAGCTTTTATTAACGCTGCCAGTGTTTGAGAAAACTCTACTCGTAAGATGAATATTAGGGATATTTCCAGTTACTAATCACACTTTATAAATATGTATTTGCACATTTCTAAGTTAATACAGAGATTAATACGCTGAAATAAGGCCACTGTAAAGTTAAAGTGTTACCCGATAAAGTTTGAGGCTTGGAAAGCAGGGCGAGATAGAGGAAGTTGCTCATCTCTTTAAACCGAAACAAGTTTGACAGGTATTTCACAGGTATGGTGGCACGTACAGGGTTCCTACACATTTCCCTTTGCAAACGTCCACACTCCCTCTCAGATATTTTGAGCAGCTCCGGGCCACTTAACACTCGGGCAGCTCCAAATGGTGGGGAGAGGTGATCATCTGGAAAACCTGAACTTTAGGACCCAGGAATCCTGTAAAGCAACATCAGTACAGGGAACAGGGCTGGGCTTTGATGCATTAGACCGAGGTGAGAAAGTCAAAAGATTTAACCGTAGTGAGCCCAACCTTTTCTGGACAGAGCGAAGGTTTGTATTGTGCTCTTAAGTTTGGATTTGTCACTTCTATTGGGCCTCAGTTAGGAAGGCTGGGACAGTCCGAAAAAAAAGTGCATTTTTACATAAAAATGGTGTCATTTCAAACACCAACCACACCCACACAGGACTTTTCAGTTACGCTTTCTTCAAATAGGGCTGGAGATACCCGCACTGACCATTCAAAGCTATGCTGGCAGTGTTGTTCCACGACACAGCAGCGTGTCGCATTGAGCTCTTCCACTGACAGCTCACTGTGGCTGTGACTACTTTAAATATTACATCCTGCAATAGTTAAAATTGTCATCTTGTTGTGTGGACCAATTTCTGCTGAAGAACACGACTGCCAACAAAGCTCTGCTAACTCGGTGACCCATGCGTTGCCACTTCCTATGGCTGCTTCACAATAAAAGCCTCCCACTGTTTGCTGGTAGAAAACCCTTAATGTTAAGCAACAGCAGGAAATGTTTGCTTTGCATCAGCAGTAACTTTAAGGTATTTGACCACTACTGCCGCCATAACATTTTTATGAGTGGTTGAATACACATTTTTACATTATTCCACTGATCCACAGGTGAATGCAGCAATGCGCCAGCAAAGGCAAAGAAGACGGCGAAACATGGATTTAAAAATCATTTAAACACTCAACTCCACAGGTCACCTGCTATACAGCTGAAAGCGCTAAGGAAGCAGTAAAGTAATGCTGATATCTGAAAGTATGAACAGAAACACGGGAGTAGAACTACACTCCAAACCACAGACATTTTTTTAGAAGCCACAAAAATATGAATTATTGATGAATGATTTCCATCTTGGGAGTGGTCCCATCAAGCAGCACCACGACAGCCAGGCTCAGCGTGGCTAAGCCTTGCTGTGAGGTTGCAATAAGGGTGTGTGTTCGCAGCTTGGCCAGTTAAAGCAGACTGAAGTGGGCCTGTGGAAAAACTGCAATTAATGTTGCTGATTAGACCATACCGGTGTGGGCTGCACACAAAACTAATTCCATCGGATTACTGACATTACAAATCCGAACACAAGTTTCAATTCATTTGTAAATCTCTTGAACTGGTCATGTTGTAATTAATTACACAAACAGCTCAGCAATGAACCAACATGAAGAGGAACATATTTTACTTTTATATTAAAAAAGGATTTTATTGTCCAGCCCTATCTTAGAGGTCTAATTTAGTCCCACCGTAACAGGTGTAAGAAAACTAAAAAAGGACAGCAAGGGAGATGTCAATCAAGCACCGCGCTGTAGACGCCCACAAACCTGAAAAGACGTCTAATCAGCCAGAAATAAATGAAAACTCCTGTGTGGGTGGACCAGGGGGGAAGTGTCTCAAATAACAGTTGAAAATGCAACAATTTTTCCTATCATGTTCGACGCTTTTGCAGGCCTATGTAGGAACCCAGTGTGAGGCTGCTGACAACAGATCTGGGTCAAATAGCATTTACAGATAATAGTTTGTTTTTCATCATTCTGCCAGTTTTGCAATTCGAAATGGGTCAGACTGGCCACACAGGACGAAAAAAATAGAATAAATAGTTGTTTATCAAAGAAGTGTTACATTAATCGTATAATAGAGGTTAAAAAAAAAAACAAACCTCTTAAGATTCATTTGTCGACACTATCAGACCCAGGATCCGTTTGTCTGAGCCATCAAGCAGAAATGGTTTGCGAGACTTTGGGCAGGCCGCAGACCTTACATCTTCTTTACAAGTCCAGTGTCTTTCTCAGAACATCTTCAACAAGACAAACCAGGTCTTATATCTGACCCGTGACCTTTGAGTCACTGTGCTGTCTGCGTTAACCACTGAACCGCCCTGTCACCCCGACCAGAAAGGAACTGATGGCAGCAGGCTGCAGGGAATCACCTCCACAATCTCCACTTTACAGATTCACTGTGGCCACACAGGTGATTTTTCATTTTACATTCATTTACAAAAGAACCCAAAAACAATCTTCATTCTTAGTGAAATTATTACTACAGTACATTTGAATCAGCTGTAGAACAGATTCATATATTTAGAGTTTCTTTGCAAAATGAGATCTCTGCCTTGTGGGAAACAGAATAAAATCTGCAACTGAAGGAGACTGTGGTTATATATTGTGTCACTGTTTGTTGTTACTGGAGAATGCAAGGAAGTGATTTTCTAACTGAGCATCATGAACAGGGTAGCGTTTTCTCAAATGGAAAGAAAGCATTTTGGAATTACACATTTCTACAGAAAATCAAATAAATGAGCTGCTGTCTGATCTCAGAGCTGCGTCTGTTGAAGTGAGAGTGCTGCTGATGCTGCAGGTATACATGTACCTTTCAGGCATTACAGTGTTGACGGGTCAATGTGACTTTGCAGGTCATCCTTGCTTGCACCTCTGTGGTCTCCCTCACATTTTTACTTAAAATAATGCTAACTATTGCTTTTGTTTTAAGCTGCTTGGAGCACCAAATGAGCGTTTACTAAATATGGGCCCATGAATTAAGTCCCGCCAATTTGCCAAGCAGGTTAAAACAAAAGGGATGTTTGTAAAACTGTTTGACCCAGAAACCAAATTTTACTTTAGTCAGTGGAAGTGGTACCATTTTCTGCTGAGGCTGAAGAATAGTGTTGCCTTCCTAAAGCCACAGAGCCTTGTACATCCCAAAATGTTTCCTCTATTGTCAGCATTTTACCATCCAACAAGGTTTTTGGAATTGAATAGCACCTCCATATGATAGTTGGTTACCTGCCAAACAGACTGTTAGTGCAGACAAACATAAAGTCAAAAGAACTTCTGCAAACCTGAGAAGAAGCAGAGACAACCTGTTCTCCTCGCTCTGCTTTCAGATGGACTGAAATAGTGTTTAATAAAATGCAACTCAGAAGGATTTTTTGTGGCAGGTTTTTTTTTTGCAATTTGCAATCAGGTGCCCAAACTGCCTCACAATAAGCTGATGAAAGATGGTTATTTTACACCATCAAGTCTGCAATCGAATGAAGCAATTGAATTAACATCAAAACCTGAACCAGGCATGATGGCCAAAAAAGTTACTCTAGCAGGGTTCCCACTCTTTTTAGGAAATCATTTTCCAGGACTTTTCCAGGACATTTTCCAGTAGTTTCTCTTGACAATACAGGAAAGCCCTTGCTCACAGTGGCGGTCAGCGTTTATGGGACAGTCCGTGTTAGCTCGCGTTTGTGGTGCGATTTGCTGTTCTCACCACAGCTGATTTTTTCCACATTAAACATTTTTTAGGGCAACACAGTTAATCTCTAGGATATTGAACTGAATTTGAGTCACCATGACTGAAAAAGTAGGCTCTAAATTTCCTGGTTTTCCAGGACATTTGGGAACCCCGTCTAGTGGAAAAAAAAGAGCAAAAAAACGATTGATAAAAAAAAATAGTGAAAGTGAAGTGCTTTGATTCCTCAGTGCAAGTATGACCAGAGCTGACTCCTAATGCTCGCTGGGGTCACTGAGTGGAGTTGTGAGCACATCCAGCTCTCTATAATTACAGAATGTCAACTTTGTTCATGCTTTCTGGCCTGACCTTTTCTCAATGCTAAAAGTATGCCCTTTAACCAGACGGTGAGCAGTTCTAGTATGCTGAACACATGTGAGAGCCTGGAAATAAATACGATGCAATCTTAATGGCAAAATACAACTCATTAATTTTTTTCTATTACTGTACTTCTCAGAGAGCGGGAAGTTAATTATAATGTTGTGAGGCTGGAGATATAGTTTATATATCGGTGTATTCCTATGCCTTCAGTCAAAGACCTGCAGGCATTGTAATTTTTTAATGACCAATGTGGACTAATTCACACCTGCTCTGATATTTAGTGCTGAAGGAGAAAAGACAAAGACAAGAAGGCAAGAAACACAGATCTGACATCCTGATGCCCTTACAAAACAGAAAATTACTTGTGAAATTTCAAAGCAACAGCTCCGTTTCAGACTAGCAGAGGTTTTTTTTGTGTGTCTTTGTGTTTGCCTCGTGCTTTTCATTCTGTGGTTTCCCTCATTTTCCCCAGTGAACAAAAAAAAAAGTAATGTTTCTTTAAAAATGGACCAGTGATTCCAGATAAGGACTCTGGAAAGAGCAGAAAAGGAAGGTGAAATAAAAGACCGGCTTAGAGCAACCTCACACATGGAGCACAAAAACAGAGTAAACCCAAGAGACCTGGCAATAAGATAATTTCAAGAGGCATTTTTTTTTTTTTTTTAGAATCAATACCAGAGGTCTTCCATGAGATGTGGTCAATTCAGAGGTTCCATTTAACAAAAGGTGCAAATAAGGAAACAGACACTGACACATCATGGCTGCTCACTCTGCTAACGTGTGTCTGTGTGTGTGCTTTATGTTCAGGGTTGTCGGCCGGGTACCGTTTGAATGTGGCCATTAGCAGCTCCACTGTTGCTGCATCAATGTGAACACAGACGTCACTGCTGCAGGGGCTAATTGAGCAGCCGTAGATAGCTCAGGGACACGGAACAATCGGCATTGAACGGCAGGGGAAAAGCGATAGGCTTTTTGGTATGGAGGGGGTTGGTGCTTTGCATTTGGGGGCACGGGAGCAGCAATTAGAGGCTATGGATTTCTTAGGGAACGATCACACGGGATGCTGAACCGTTGCCCCGGCACCCATCACGCAGATCAGCCTAATACCTTCAGTCAATCTGAGTCAGGCGATCTATAGGAAGCCTGTTTCACATGATCTCCAGGCGCAGCATTGCCAAAGGGACAATCGTTAAACACGGGAGGGTTTTCTCACCACCAACTGTTTGTTGTGTGTGAGAGCCCTGTGTGTGCACCTGTGTGTGCACCTGCGTGTGCGCTGCCATTGGCTTTCATTGCAACTGGAGTAATTAGCTGGAAAAGTTTCAATCGGCGCTGGCTTACGATCCAGCCAGCGTGGAAGAGATGTTGCTGTGGTCTTGTTTTGTACTCGGCCACACCACCAGAGAGGTGTGAGGCTGTTTGGCTCGGCAGCCAGATCGCCACAGAGGCAGAGAGAGAGAGACGGGCGGAGACAAAGCTCCAGACAGGCCACAGAGAAGACAGCGGCAGAAAACACAGAGCCGATTAGAAATGTCACAGACTCTTTAGATGGGCTTTGGCTGCACGGTCAGCCTCCTACAGTGGATCCTCATTAAAGGAAGACACAACATGCTGTTAGCTTGCTCGGAGGCTGGACTGTACAGGACTCTGGTGACACTGCCTTCAGTGCTGAGCTCTGAACATGACAGCAGGCGACAATGGGCTACAAATGGGTTACAAGGGCTTGGAAAGTTGGTTTTTGGAAGTGTGTGTGTGTGTGTGTGTGTGTGTGTGTGTGTGTGTGTGTGTGTGTGTGTGTGTGTGTATGTGTGTGCATGCGCAGCTGAACACATCCAGTTTTTTCCTGCCTTCAAAATAAAACAATACAAAACAAAGAACAACAATAACTTAAGTAAAACGAGAATATAGAGGGTTGCAAAGTCTCTGGATTTTTCAAAAACTACGAGACGAGGATCTCTTCTAGCAGCAAGCCGTGGCCGCCTCGACTCTAGCGAGGCGGTGTCGACAAATGTAAAATGTTTTTTTTGAGGGGGAAAGGGTGAACTCAGCACCCGCTCTGTCCCTCCCTCCCTCCCTCTCTCTCTCCCCTGCTCCCCCTCTTTGTGTCCAGTTTCTGTCATTCAGTTCGTGGGGACCCATAGTTCCCGTAGGAGGAGAGGGAGGGGAAGCCCGGCTAAAGGCTCCAGACCACAGCGCGCGCCTCGGCCCCTCACCAAAAATGTTCCAGTTCTGCGTCCCGGCATGCACCTCTCCCTGCCAGAGTGGAGCTGGCGGAGGTCTCTGAGGGAGGGGGCCGAGGCGGGGGGGCTGATGGGAGAGCATTGGGTGGTGGGGTGGTAGAGGAGGACAGGGGGGCATGGTCAGATACAGGTGGATGGCTGTGCGGTGGGCTGCTGTTTGCGGTTCCTCAGGCCTCCAGACTTCTCCTTGTAACCCACACACATCTGCTGAGAGACGTCCACCAGCGCACTGGCCACTGCCAGACCTGAACACACACAAATATTACAGTTAGATTATGCAAAGATGTCCCATTTTTGTGATGTGGACATGCCAAGCTGTGTTTTATTATATATATTTATAGGGATGTTACTTTCAATACTCACACAACATTTGTTCAAATCAATTCAAATGCAACTTTTCATAATCAGTAAATCATTTAACCTCTACAATCAGATATCTGTGAAGGGATGAAAAGAAGACACAGCTTAGGATTTAGTGGTGTTTAGTGGTGAAGTTGCAAGTTCTAAGCGTGTAGGAGAAACTAAGGTGGCCCTATCTACAGCCAGTTGGTTTGTCCTTTCTGGGCTACTGTAGAAAAATGGCGGGTCAACATTGTGGCATCTACAACATTGTATACAGTTTGTACTAAGATACTAATAGGAATTTTGTGAAACAAGTAGTCAAGAAAATAATGTCACCTACAGTTTTGCATAATACTCCAAACAGAAAGCTAAATCTTTTTTTATTTCTTCATACAACTCCTCCAATTCTTTTTTGCAAGGCATTGTGGGTCAATAATGTCCATCCGTCACTTTTCCACTATAAACACACATGCATGCTTAAACGGCATTTAGAATTACTGTGTAGTGTAAAATTGGGACATACGTTTGCACTCACAACCACATACACAGGTGGTGAGATCCTGGACTGGCAGCGCAGGCAATCATTAACTTAGACCACACTTCATTAACATTTATTAATACTCTCTGAGCCATGAAATTCCAGTAAACTCCATTTATCTCCAATGATGGATGCATTTAGCCCGATCAAATGCACATAGCCAACGGCGAAATATAAATTCCACAGAGAGAAGCAGTGGCTGGGAGTCTGATCGTCTTCAGTATAACAGGCTGCAACCATTAGCTTGTTTCTTGATCTAAAAGTGGGTGCAGGATAGTTCAAAGCAAACAAATGAGGCTCAGATACAAATCAGAGAATGATCTACAGTGCTGACCTCCTCTTGGCTGTTTGGAGAGTGACAAGGGCAGCCATTTTGGAACAAGCTTAACTGTAAACAGATGTGCTGTGATGCCGTGACAGACCGTAGCCTGAGGATTCAAAATGCACACGGCCGGATGGGAGACAAGTTAAAAGCAATATAACAGGAGATCCTCGCAGGCATGAGGAGATGGTAGGAATGTGGATAACATGGTCTCAACAAAAGCTGCCAGAGGGGAAGCTCCACTGAGAGCCGAGGCAGTTTTGTTATGACAAAAGGACTATGTGGTAATTAATAAGGGCCTGGGGCGCACTGATGGTCTGGGGACTGCAACTGCGGGAGGCAAAGAGGCTATAAAAGACAGAAGAGGAAAGAAAATACAGAAATGAAGTTGAGTTCTTGTTTGAGTCCTTGAAGACGACAGTGGAAGAAACAGAAAAAAAAGAAAAAAAGTCAAGTTAAGTGCTTAGTCCGGGGTCCTATCAGACTGTCTTGGAAAAAAAAGATAAGGAAAACAGATGAAGGAACGGATGGGAACGTGAAGAGAGCAAGTGACAGAGCAGAGGATGAAAGGAAGTAATGGGCTCAATTCTCAGTGCTATCAGCCGGCCCGGGAAAGAAAGAAGGAAGAGAAAGAAGGGGTACAGCGCAGGGAAATACAGAAGAGACATAACACTCAAGTGAGGGAAAGAGAAGAGCTGCAGCGAGCTTCTAAGCAATGGAGAGACACGATAACATGCAGACAGAAAGACGATGAAGGGAGGAAACAGATGAGAGCGAAAGCAACAAACAGGCTGCAGCCTTCATTTCACCACACAGGACTGAAAGGAGAGACGAGACAGAATGAGGAAAAGAGAGAGAGAGCAGGGAGGGAACAGGGAGAGCAATGAGAGAAAGGAGGGAGAGCGCTGCAGCATCTTTAAAAATCAATACGTCCTTGTCACATTAATGGTGCAACCATGAAATAATTACTGTAAACAAATGAGACCATGGTCAAGATGATTCATAGCCTCTGTGCCACAGTGTGTGTGTGTGTGTGTGTGTGTGTGTGTGTTTTTTTTTGCTTATTTATCTCTCAACACTATAAGACCACATATCCCATAATCCCTGATTCTTTTGTGTCACTGAAGATCGTCAGTCCAAGGTGTTATTTTATGTAAAAAGATTTCACTGTGGCTTCTATTTGGTTTTCTTTGTGTCAACAAGCAAAAAGAATGTTGTATAAAAATGCAGTGTAGAGACAGAAACCAGTAGTTATTATTAGATTTAACATCTAAGACAATGTCCACACTATGTGCATGGCTGTATTAAAGGGTTAAGTGGGTCCCTTTAAAAACTGCTGATTGGACCCATCTGACATCTCCAACTCCTGTATGTATGGACCAAGTATCCTCCAGGGTCCCATTAAGTACAGTGCAGACAAACAGGGGGGCAATATTAAGTATTTAAGTGCTATATTGGTTTTTATAGACCAGCCTTGACTAAGCTGGCTACATTTTAGAACTCATCTTTTTTCCCTGTGCTGGCCTTTGATCCTGAGTTCAGTTTTTTTCTGTCCCCAAAACAGCCTTATTTTTTCTGAATAGCTCTTCAGGGTGGATGGATGGATCTGAAAATGCTGCTCTCACATTGTAACAGGGATGGGGAAAAGCTAACCTCTGCAATATGCAGAAGAATTTGAAGATGCCAACTTTCTGTCATCTTCCACTCTTTTTGATATCTCTCATTCCAAATACCAAAACACAGGTACTGGTAATAATACAGGTATTGATGTGTATTTATGCCTCTGTTATCAGATGAATTTCTAAGCACAAAATCGATTTGACTGTTGGACCGCTGCAGCAGCACAAAAATGACTGTTTACCTGGTTAAGAGGCAGCATTTATGAGCCACAATCCCATTGCTTTGATTTATATTTATAGTTGTTTGTCAGACAACCGAAGTAGATGAATACATTATGTGAATCAGACCACCTAATCCATTCCATCCATATTATGCTGAAACCACTCCATCCAGTGGAAAACCCATTTAACAGACTATCTAGCTGAGTCTGTCCCAGACTCCTTAAAGGTCAAAACTCCAGCAACACTTGTGCTACTGTTTACTGTTAATGTGTTTTAGCATTTGGCCTTCATGAAACACACTATAAATAACAATTAAATATGGGTAGGTAGGAAAAAGTCTTGAATGTTAATGTTCATTGGTAGGGCGGTTCAAACCCTTGATGTTTTGGGTATATTGGAAATGTATGCATGTTCCACAAGTAATGTTGCACTAAAGGGGTTTAGTAGTGAGCTTACTGTTTGGGACCTCCAGAAACCTTTACTCTCTCCCCAAGTCCTATTCAGGCAGACAGTGTTTTCCATTTTCTCCACTTTAATGTGGGAATGGTGTAAAAAGCTGAAGACAGGATGATACCAAAGAAATAACAGAAAAAGATAAAGAGAAGTGAAACAAGTTAGAAAAGTGTGAGGTGTAAACTTGTCCTTCTCTAACTGGAGATAAAGCTTCAAAAGACAGAGGAAGGAAGGAAGATGAAGAAAAGGGATGTGAAAAAAGTGAACAATCATCAAACAAAGACAGCTGAAGTGAGGAAAGAAAACAAGTGTAGGATTCAACGGCTATGTCTTACCAGACTGTCCTGGAGGAGGGATACCGCCGGTGCCCCTGGGTAACCGCACAAAGATGGAAAGCACGGCAGCTTTGTTGCCAAAGCAAGGCTCAAGGGCGATGGGTTTTGGGACGGACTGTGGAAAGAAAGGAAACAGAAAGGGGAAAAAAAATTAGTATTACACATCACAGGCCTTCCAGATCCTGGTGAACACACGCCATCTTCAAAGACATGGATAACGGAGGCTTTGCTGTTACTGTTCTTGTTTGTGTCAGCAACGTGCACAGGGGGAAAAAAATCTTTTCCATCCCCTGTTGAGATACACATACTGATGTACGGACACAAATTGGATCCACGGCCCCTCCCAAAATCCCCCGCTGTGCACAATTTCATGACAATGCTGCCTGTGTGCAGCGTGGGCCACGACTGGATATCAAGTGGCGGCGCTGGGAGCGGAGATTTGTGTCGGCAGTACTGGCAGACTGCACTCCTGTCGCCGCAGGCTGCCTGACACACCTGACTCTCTAATACCAATATCTCCTGTTTATCAGCAACTCATCCATATGTGGGGATGAGTTTCCCGCCTGTAAACACTGGCCGGATCTGCTGCCGCTCACCTCGTACAATATTCATGGGTTTACCTCGACGGAGGATATGGATATGGAGAACGCCGCCACCTCAGCCGCATACAGATAGCGGCCTATCTCTCTCTCGCCATCTATCTCGCTCTGTATTTCGAATTCCTGAGCCGGACAGGAAACTGGGCCATGGCATGGTTTCACACACACACACTCCTGACACTGCCTCTTATTTGCTCACACACAAATTCAATCCCTTCCCACGCCAGTCTTTATACTCCGGAGAGTTGAGCTTAAAGCCCCAAGTGGAAATGCCGCTGGAGTGTGACTGACACACACACACACACACACACACACACACACACACAAAAAAAATACCTTGCTGAAACACACACAGTTTTCACACATCAACTGTATATACACACATACTTGTCGCATTTTCACACACAAATTCATCACTGCTCGCTCTCTCTCTCTCTCACAAACACACGCACACACACACATATACATAGTGTAAGCGTACACATGGGGAGTGGGGCAGTAATGATATTCAGGCTCTGACCCATTTTACACAATTATTCGCTGCTCCATCTCTCTGAGGCTTACCTTTCATACCAGTAGGATACACAGGCTGTCACACAGGTAGCTGGGGAGGTGGCACAAAGACCTGGATGCCTCCCTGTGTGTGTGTGTGTGTGTGTGTGTGTGTGTGTGTGTGTGTGTGTGTGTGTGTGGATTTAGTGCATCTGATGTTGTAACAGAGGGGGATTCTGTATTTGTTTATGCCTTTACGGAGGTGTGTCTGCCAGTTTATAGCATGTATGTTTATACAGGTGATCTGACAGAGAAGGGCATTTTATTCTCCATTTGCTCTGTACATGTGTTAGTGGATACGATACAGATGCAGCCGCCTAGAATCGCTGGCTGGTCCATGACAGGCCCCTGCTTATCTGAATGAAAATAATGGATATATCCGGCTGGCAGCTGGATGGCAGCCGGTGGGGGGCGGCAATTCTGAGTGGCTGGTACGACATCCCTTCCGTCATACACTTCACTCAGTAAATGCTCTGGTAATTTTACACGTTGGCCTCGTACATGAATAAGCTCGCAATCAGTTTTCTGGAAAAGCCACACCTACATCCGTGAGTCGGACATTGCAACATTTCTATAATACTTCCAACGCAGCTGTGCCTTCAAAGGCTGGAATCATGGTTCTCAGAAGATACTCAAATGTTCTTGTTCTCAGGTCAGATCCATCTTGAAAGTGTTTTTATTACGTACTATTGTTTATTTTTCTCGAGTATGCAAGAGGAAGAGAAACATAAAAAACCTACCTTTGTAAAACCACAATGACCATCACACCATCAGTTTCTGCTCTCAGCGTTCATTAATGCCAACTGCCTAAAGTTTGAGTATTCACTATAATGCTGAGGAAATAATGAGGAAATTAGAATGAACTTTGAGTGCTATGGTGTTTAACTCTGCTTGGACGCAGTCAGAGTATATTCAACAGGGAGCAGAATGTTTATATTCCATCTGATAAGTGACTAAATTGATGAGAAAATGTATTAGGGAACCTACAGGGTTGATTAGAGTTGTTAAGCAGGGGCTTTATCTGTAATAGTACTGTCATTTTAAATGAGCTGTTAAGGGACTTTTTTGTAAAGAATGCTTATGTTTGAAAAATACTTATATATACAGATAAATAAAGCCAGCAACATTTCAGATTTCATATCTGAAAGGGGCTCACATTATGTACTGTGTGTGTAATTGCAATATGACTGCATGTCTGAATGTGTGATTATTGTTCTACGCAGCTGAGAACTTGCTGTGTTTATGCATCTTTGTACAGAGAAAGTTATGAGGTTTTTGTTTGTGTGTGTAAGCTTTGCGTGCATGCCTCTGAGCTCGCAGCAATTTTCAGCTGTGTTGATCCTGCACTCACACACACACACGCGGTGTTACAGACCCCCCTAAGAACTGACAGGGGGAAAAGTTCAGATGCAGACAAATGGGCTCATAGTGGGACGGGGCTCGCCTGCTGGAAACACTGCAGTCAAACCAGCAGCAGCATCAACAGCGCACGGAAAATAAATACTCCGACACATGTTTGGATACCAGAACTGAGTACAACTCTGACATGCTGGAATTTTAACAATAAATCATGAATCCAAATGCTTGGACTTTGAGAAATTAGCGTGATTAATGTAAACAAACACGTCTACGGGAGAAAGAAAAGGGTCACTGCTGTGTTTTATATCCATCTTCAACTCCCTCCACTTGATTTTCATTCTCTCTCGTTTATTTTATCTTTATTTACAAGGCAAAAATTAAGACAAGTTTGTCCCAATGGGTTTCACCATTTGTACAGCCACCGTCTATCCTCACACCCCCGACTCAGACAAAGAAAAAACATTGCTCCTTCTCTCATTAAATGTGAAAGAAGAACATTTACTTTCACTCCCTTCTTTTCTGTCTTTCGTCTATCTTTCCAAAATTGCCTTCTGTGCAGACTTTTGGAGTTGCTAACATTTTAAAAGAAATTTTAATGACATTTTATTATACATTCAAAATAAACTATTAATAATAATTACCATAAACAAGCAAGACCACGCTGAAGGAGATTGGCAGCCTCTAACAACCACCCATTATACTGATGTATTTATCCTCTTTAGCAAAGTAAAAGGAAAAACTACAGAACGATAACAGGAAGAGCGAGGAGGGACGAGTTGCAACAAAACAGTGAGAGGTTTTTATGAAAATGGGCTTTTAATTATGATAAACACTAGAACACAATACTGGTGTGAGAGAGGAGCTACAACTCATCTCATCTGTGGTTCGACAAAACCGTATGAGGCTATCAAAAGTAATCCGACTGCCATTTTTCCTCATAAATGCTTCACACATCCAATATCCATGCATTTAAATAAGGTTAGTTTTATATGAACTGCTCGAATGAGCACAAAAAGGTGGGACACAAAGAGCTTTATAACCTTTACATAATGTTAAAAACACAAGTTAGAATTCTTCAGATTTCCATTCTGGTTGATCGGTGAAACCTGTGGTTACTGTAGGTAAGAGCAAGTTTGACAATCGATCTCTTAAGCTTGTGTTAACCATGATTTTAGGTATCCAACCAAAAACACATTCAAAAAAACGCATTCCACTTCGAGTTGAGGGACCCTGAAGTGCAAAACTATTCACTCGCTTTGGTACTTATTCTGCAGCACTATAACAGAATGGCTCTTGCTGAAATCTTGTCCATTTGTTGGCACCTGTTGTGTTTGAGAGGTTACCATAATTAAGTAAATAAGAGTTTTATATTCTAGATGTTAGACATGTCAAGACAGTGGTGTGGGAAGAAAACAGCCGAGAGAAAGAATACTCTAATTAGACTGTTTTTATTCTTTCTTTAATTTGGCGAACTTTGGAAAACTAAAATAATATTAATTTGGCTGAGGACCTTGTGGGAACTCGTCAGAGGTTTCTATCCTGCCCTGGAAGCACTTTAGAGAAGCTTCTTTAAAAACTCACGAGAGAGGTGGGAGTGAACCAGATAAAAATATCCTAATTAAATACTGATGGAGAATAAATTGCAATTTTGTTTTCCATTTGATTGCAGTAAAAGACAATATTGTCCCTCAGGGCAATAAAACATCACCCTAACAGCTTTAACAGCTTTATGTGATAAATGAGTGATGACTCAATAACTAGATAAGACAACCAAGCACTCAGTATAAGGATCATTTCTTTCCATTTTCAAAATCATGGCGCTAGAACTTCATTATATGCAGCTTACACAGATTGCAGAGAAATGGGAATAAAAATACTGACAACTATTCCAATACAACATTAGGTGGTGCAATATCACACTTGGCTAATTTTGCTCCTCAATCCCTTGGTACAAGAAAAGATGAAACAATTATTTTGGCCTTGCCAGAAGCAATCCAACCAGGCTTGGTTTGCTCCAGTCCACAGGTCTGTTTTTGCCTCTGGCTAAATGTATTTCTCATCCAGTGTGTTTACAATTGGAAAAATGAGGGCTACCCGTGATAACCTGAACACATCTGTACTCTGTGTGTAAAAAGCTTTTAATTTTACAGCTTAGGGCTGTAAGACTCATCTGCCAAGTCCAATTTCCACTGCAGCAGCTGCAAGCTGCTCTTAAATTCTTGCTTGTTTATGTGCTCCTTTCTCATTTACTAACATTGGCATCTCATATTCAAACTGGAGAGGGAATAAGCACACATTGGAACTTCGGGACTTGCTGTCAGACTGATGTTGGATGTGACAGTGGGATTATTTTGATTTCAACAGTCCTTGTTTTGTAATCGATTGCATTGAGAGCTCAACGGTACGACTATTATATCCGATTCACAACCTCAATTTCAACAGGAGGCTACAAGCCAGTTCTTCTCTTTCCATTCTGACAAAAACAAACCAGTGCTCCCTTAAAAAAAAACATAATTTATCTCCTACAACACACATGTCCGACTTATTTTGTCCTGAGTGGAAATTAAGGGGGAAAACAAAACAAAACACCTTGGAAAATTCAATT